TGAACAAAAAACATTTCCTTCAAAGAAACACCATTTTTATTTGAAAGAACTTTTGTTAGACTACCGACTATTCAGACTTAAGGTATTTAGTCATTTTCCTAATCTGCTTGTCCTGAATTTCTCAAATGACATGGGCTTTCAAAGAGCTGACAGTAATTGCTGCCAATGATAAAATTCAAGTGAAAGTTAAAATTCTAAAAAAAAAATAGTTATCTGTTCTGTGAGCTTTATAGTTTCCCAATATAAAGATTTTCTTCTACTGAGATCGCGTGATATTAACAAACGTAATCTTTTTGATATTGTATAAAGAAATGTCAAATTTTACAAGTGTGTATAAGTCAATACAATTAACAAGTCATGCATGGATAAAAGAGCCATTCAAAGTTCAAAACAAACCAATGAATTTCAGTGGAATAGCACTCAAAAAAAAAAAAAATGGTTTACAGGCTTGAACCTTGACTAACTTCTGGGAATTGACTTTGGGAATGTTCTCTATGTTGCTAACTGATAAGGTCGTTTTGTATGACTAGGGCACTGAATCCTGCTGCAGAAGTCTGCCTAGACTGTGTAAACAATATGTTTTATGGTGAATATCTTGACTGGCTGAGCAGGCACAAAGTGTCTGTGTGACCAATTCCAAATAAAAGCCCTTGTCTCTGAGCCTAGTTATGCAGTTTATTGCTGGAGGAAGAAGTGTGTTTTATGTGATCACAAGAAAAAACTTTGGAAGCCTGAATCTGGATTTCTCCAGATTCCACTGTAATAAACCACAGGTGTAATTACAACTGCTTCTGAATCTTAAATCCTTCTAGTTAATATGCAACCACGTAGGTGGCTGAGGTCCCAGAGTATGAAAAACTCAGTAATGTTTCCATAATCCACACTGCAGCTAAATTTTAAGAAACTGTATTTGCCAAGCTGTAGTGTCAAAGAATAGCCACAAATTGTTGGAAAGGCTCTCAAAATTTACTCGTTTTCCAACTGCATATCTGTGTAAGGCCAGATTTTCTTTCCCACATACTTGAATCAGAACAATTTATCATCACGAGTGGAATGCAAAAGTAGATATGAGAGTTAAGCTGTCTTCTATTAAGCCAGAAATAAGAGATTTACACAGTGTAAAATAAAACAATGCCACTCTTTATAGTATGTTTTTTAAATTTGGAAAAATATTCTTCATTGAAATACTTATGTACACATGTAATGGGTTTCCTGGACCAAAAAAAATTGAGAACCAATGCTTTAGAAGAACAGATAGGCAGTAAATTGTTATCAATACCTAATACAATAGCTATAACTTGACTATAACACTGGCCCCAATAACACTGAGTGTTCCAACACAAATTTGTGATAGATATGCCAAGATGTTTTTTCTCTCAGCTCTTAGGGGGATCAAGAGTAGCTTGGGACAGTAAAAGACCCCAGATTAGTTGCCACCAACCCCACCAGTTTATCTCAGTGTGCTATATATATATTACTGTTTTATTGTCCGTATGTACTATGGTATGTGAAAGGATGGAAAGCACTGGCCTAGTAGAACCACCTTGTAGCTACTTACCTTGCTGCAAACATCCAAGCCATTCTTCACATTACTATCATGTGAAATGTACTGAACAAGTGACATAAGCTATGGGTTATACTGAAAATCTTTGGAATGATGTTACCATTATTTTAAAGGACTCTCTAAAAACATTAGTACATTTTTTGATGTCAGTAATAATTTCGAATTTCTTGTTCACTTCTTTTCTAACTGAAGTTCAAAATTAATATGAGAATTACAAGAAGCACAGTTTATCTCGTTCCATGGCATTAGTCAAATTATATTTTCAAAGTCATTTTCAGATAGTGAAGTGAAATGGTAATTTATCAATGAAAATGTTAAACCATAACTAAACTAAAAAAAACAAGTTTTCCCCCCTACAGTATTAGTGAGAAAAAAAATTTACTAAGTATAAAAGAAAAAGTTTATCATGGCAAGTATCTATTCAAAATAAGCCTTCATTCATTCAGTAAATATTTGAGCGTTCACTGAACAAATCAGGGAAAAAGTGGGAAGAGAAAATGGTTTTGATACTGCATATGTTAAAGTAATCATCTTTGAGATGTTTCTTCATCAGTTAATTTTGAATATACCTACCTTATACAGTTTTCCTGAGAGGATGAAATGAAATATATTTGCTATGTCTGAAATGTTACTGCATTTCATTCCTTTCATTTTTTTTTAAAGTTGTGTTTAATCAGTAGTGTGGCAATTATATTTACTAATGATTTTCTAGATAAAAGAAGTGTTATATTTTAGCCACATATGGGTTAAACAGCTGTTTGTAAATTAGTTTAGGAACCCTTTTGTTTCAATTGGGAAATGCATTGCAAATATCCTAAAAATCAATCTCAGAATAACACTGGTTTGTACTGTGTACTGGCTGTATAATAAAATACTAGGTAGGTAACAATATCTAAGTATAGTTACCAATGTAAATCCTAGCCTGTAATGGGGCATTAAAAGTGTTTGCTGAAATAAATTTAACCCGAGGCCTTTAAGAATTTCTTTTAAGTGTCTTTTAAGAATTTCAATAGGTGATACTCAATTTACTAACTAGAAATATCTTATTCATAAGATACTGTATCTCAAAGATGATGTTAAAGAAAATACTAATTAACTTAACGGTTAATAAAACAATTGATAAAGTGCTACTCATCAGAATACAGCAGCTAAAGACTGGCAATTTAGAAAAAAGACAAAAGCTGTATAACTTTCAAACAACATAGGTTAAAAAAGCAAAACACAAATAACTGAAGCCCACAGTGGAGCAAAAATCAGTTAAATTTTAGTAATAATTTCTTTTAAAAAAATAAGCACACACATAAAACATGCAAGAGTTCTAGCAGGAACATAAGGTCTAAGAATTAGACACTAATCCTATCACGATTTTTCATCTAGTTTTGATCTTTACGTTGATCTTTACGTCGATCTAAAGAAACTTTTTTTAAAGTTCACAGAAAAGCAAATTACTAAAGAATCCATGAATAAGAAAAATTAAATGGGGCAGATTTATTCACAAAGCAAAGGTTAGCAAGTGTTTAACCTAGTGTGTTAGCAATAAAGCTAAATTCTGCCTGTGAGTAATTTGTGGTTTTCAGGAAAATGAGAAAGGGCAGAAAAAAGGAGAGGAAGAAGAAAGTAAACAAGAAAAAATAATGTGGAAGACAGTAAATAGCTTCTTTTATTCCTTCAGAACATGGTGTTATGAACTGTGTAGCAATGCCCCAAGATAATTATTATGATCCATTATACTTTTACAGTGTTTCTGGTATCAATCCAATGATACCTACTTTCAGTACAGGATGGATAGACACAGAAACCACCACCCCTCGCCCCAGACAAAAAAGTAAAGGCTATGAGGTATGACCAAAGGACCAAGAGAGTTCAGAAGAGACATCTGAAGACAGCAGAGAGAGGTATGTGTTGAGGAAGCTGGTAGAGAAGAAGACGCTATGAAGAAATAATATACAATCCAGGCTTTAGAGAAAAGAGTATAATTTTCACCATGGCTGGTGTGCTAAGCAAAACAGACACTCAAAGATGCCTATGTCCTAATCCTAGAATCCCTGAAAACCTGTTATATGGTAAAAAGCATTTTGGGAGATGTATTTAAAGCTATGGACCTTACAGATAGGGAAATTATATCTGATTATTTGACTGGGCTCAATCTAACTAAAATACATGAACCCTTAAAAGCTGACAATTTTCTCTGGCTGTAATTAGAAAGAAGCAGTGGGAGAAGTCAGAGAAATCTGAAGCATGAGAGAGACATGACCCACCATTCCTGTAGGGGACCATAAGAAAAGCACGAGAATGCAGACAGATTCTAGGAGCAAAGACTGGTGCTGACTGAAGGTCGGCAAGACAATGGAACCTCAGTTCTACAACCACAAGGAACTGAATTTGGCCAAGAATCTGAATGAGCTAGCAACAGGTTCTTTCCTAGACTCTCCAGTAAGGAATGCAGTCCAGTCAACACTGTGATTTCAGGAGCCTAAATAGCGTACCCTGCTAGTCCTACAGAAACTCTCAGATAATACATTTTGGTTATTTAAGACTGCTAAGTTTGTAGTAATTTGTTAAGGCAGCAAGAAAACTAATACAGATGGCAAGTTTCAGGAACAACTATATTTCAAAGCAGCCAAAGCAAAGGATATGTGGGTAAGGAAGAATGGAAGAGTGGCTAGGGATGAAGCTGGTAAAGCAGGTAGAGCTTAAGTTATAGAAAATCTAAGACTTCATTATTTACGCCATGAAGAGGTGCTGAAACTTTTCTTTACAGTGGGAGAGATGATGAGTAACAGCAAATAGCAGCAATGTTGTTAACTGGGGATGAGAGGGAGACCAAGGGCAGGGAAATTGGTTAAAAGTGTATTACAATTATCTATGCAATAGATGATGAGAGCCTGAACCAAACCAATGAGAATGAAGAGACAGAGAAAACCTGTAAGTTTGGGGGATATTTCAGAAGCAAAACACAAGTCTTGGTTCCTGAGTGATGCTGGAAATGACAGAGCAGTCCTAGATGACTCAAAGTAACATAGTCTTGATGATTAGGTGGATGATGACGTCTAATAATCAAGGAACAAAAGAAAGGCATTATATTTTGAGGAGGTTAAAAACAAGAAGGGGGGCTTCCCTGGTGGCGCAGTGGTTGAGAGTCCGCCTGCCGATGCAGGGGACACGGGTTCGTGCCCCGGTCCGGGAAGACCCCATGTGCTGCAGAGTGGCTGGGCCCGTGAGCCATGGCCGCTGAGCCTGCGCGTCCGGAGCCTGTGCTCCGCAACGGGAGCGGCCACAACAGTGAGAGGCCCGCGTACTGCAGAAAAAAAAAAAATTTAAAAACAGGAAGGGGGAAGTATACTCTCCTCCTCTAATTTTACAATAAATGGAAGACACAATTAAGAGTTTTTAAGCAGTGAATAAACACACAAAAGAAATAGTTAGGCTCTATTACCTCTGCTGTTGCTTTCTGGATAGGCAAATGTAGGCTTATTTGGGGAACGTCGCAGATCACTATTAAGGAAAGGCTTATCAGGTGGATATATTACATATGAAGATGAGGAATCGTGAACCATATTTCCATTAGACTTTGATGGTTCTGCTAAGATGTTCTGAAAAATAAAAATACAGAAATTACCTTTCAAAATTTTAAATCACAAATAGCATGTGTATATATACATATGTTCCACTGATGGAGGCAAAAACTAAAGTCCATTGACCAAACACAACAGAATTCAATCATTACTTGAAAATAATAAAACTTTTAAAGTGTTTCATATGTCTAATGTAGCCATATGCCAAATACTATAAAAAGGAAATAATGTTCACACAACTTGAATACAAATGCTGCCGAGATACTTAAATATGGTACTCACAATGAATATTGTGAGTATAGTTTAATTACTTTAATTAATATAGCTTATTTTAAAAATATGTACCATAAGATATATATTCAGAAAAGTAAATATTATCTTTTTACAGTATCAGAAACTGCTAGAAAATGACTAAATTAATCTTTCCCCAATCAACTACACAATTCCTGAGTATCTATCAAATGTCCAAAACTCTGGGGTATATAGAAAGAAAATAAGGCATATTCCTTGCCTCAAAAATTTTACATTTAGTTGGGGGAAAAAAGGGAGAAGCCATTAGAAAACATTAAAGCTTATCAAACACATAAATATAAAACTTTATTTCTACACATACACCATTCTGCACTTGTCATACTGTTCAATTTGGGATTACATTCCACATGATAATTTTCAGTGCAGGGGATGCTAACTGTTTTGCTTTTTGTAGGTGACTTCCTTTTGGCAGAAAGTGGGAAAAGCTCAGGTGGAAGATATGACTGCTAGCTGCTCAAAACTCTCAGACATCCATTTTTCTTATTCAAATAGCCACAGTAAACTAGGTTCTCAACTCTTACCTTTGGGGAACTATATAGTACCAGAATATATACCAGAATAGTACCAGAATATATCTGACTATAAAGTACCAGAAGAACCTGTGTCCAGAAAACTAAAAAAGGAACAATGAATATTTACAATACAGTAAACCGCCTCCTGGAATAAAAGGCCATCAAAAACCATATTGTACCTAAATCTTATTAAAGATTGAAGACTATATTTCCATGTTAAAAACCATGCAATTTTCCAGTTGATTTAAGAAAGCAAATACAAAACATACACTATGGCTGTGAAAACTAAAAGAGAGCGCAAAGAGCTTGGAAAGGGTAGGAGGTTAAGTCTCAAAAGCAGTACTTAAATCCATGCTACTCTGCTGTGAAACGTGTGTTCACATGCAACAGGGACTAACAGTTGGCATTTTTTCAACTTTTCGGCAAACTGACATCAAGTTTTGGAGGTGGCTAGAAAATAGGGTGTTTTTCAATTCTTAAAATATATAATACTGCCAAAGCTCTTGCAAAACACCATGCATAATCAATCACATAGCTTAACTTTAAATATTGTTCTTCACAGAGTACCTCATGTCTCCATACAACCTACTAGAATCCTATCATTTAACAACTACCATTCAAAGAATAATGGTTAGGGAGCATTTAACATATCTATGAACATAAACCATGAGCAAATTCACTTATGATTTTCAAAATGAATTGTATTAGTATTACCAAACATTGCACGGATATTAACAGGATTATGCATAAATAATTTACCAAAACCCCAAAGAAAAAAAAAAAAACCACCCAATCAAGAAATAAGAACAAACCATCTTTGCTAAATTCATTGCCTGCTAGTTCTTGTAAAATGAACAGTTCAATATTTGTCTTTCAACAAAATCTGTTACATATACATCATCAAAATACTACTTGGGTCAGTTGACAAATTAAGAAAAGTCTTAATATAAAAATGCAAGTTATAATGAGACTTTTTTTCGAATAATATTTCTAAATATATTCCATTTTCTAAGTCAGTCACCTCATTTTGAATGTCAGGGTTTAAGCAATGAAAGCCATTGTTAACTATAAATGTTTTGGATCAATGTCCTCATTTGCTGCCAGAAGTCTGAAGCAAAGAATAGGAAGAATACATAAATCAACCCAAAGCAAAAGGAAGAAAGAAAACAAAATGGCTTTATAAAAATTATTTACAAGAACTATTTTGAAATAAAATTAAACCAAGAAATAAGAAACTGATAACTCAATTACGTACACATAGTGTCTATTAAAAACTGTAGAGGATAAAATGTGGTACCTACATACGATATTATTCAGCCTTAAAAAGAGGGAAATCCTATCACGTGCTACATAATGGATGAACCTTGAGGATATTATGCTTAGTGAAATAAGCCTGTCACAAAAAGACAAATATTTTATGATTCCACTTACATGAGGTAAAGTAGTTAAATTCATAGAAACAAAGTAGAAATATGGTGGTTATCAGGGGCTGGGGGGGAGGTTGCAAAGGGGAGTTGTTTAATAGAGTTTCCATTTTGCAAGATGAAAACGTTCTGGAGATGTTTCACAACAATGTGAATATGTTTAATACTACTGAACTGTACATTTAAAAATGGTTAAGATGATAAAGTACTAGGTAAACAACTAAAGATAATAAGAAAATAGTGAGTTGTCACACCAACCTGACCTCCAGTAGAATCAGGGCAATCACATTCTATGTGATTAACTGAAAAATTAACTAGCTTTCAAAAGAGAACCCACAAACCTACTTGCATCTGTTCTCACACACATAACACAGGCAATGAGCTTTGTATAATAGACCTATCTCCACTTACCTACTCAAAGTCTTGGTTGCCCTTTCTAAAGGACATGGTATCCCTCCAGATGCCATCTATTTCTCCCTCCCTACTAGACCTTGCACACTGCCATTTGGAAGGAAAGGAAGGGAGGGAAGGAAAGAAAGGGAGAGAAAGAGAGAGGGAGGAAGGGAGAAAGGAGAGAAAGGAAGTGAGGGAAGGAAAGAAAGGGAGAGAAAGAGGGAGGGAGGGAGGAAGGGAGAAAGGAGAGAAAGGAAGGAGGAAAGGAAGGGAGGGAAGAGACAGCAGGGAACAGAGAAAGCGGAGGGAGGTAAGGAAGGAAGGAAAGACAGACTTTTCTGAACTTTAGGACTCCTCTCCAGCTCCTGTCTCATTTCTCAGCTTTTATAACAAAGTCCCTCAAAATACTTGTTTGTAATTGCTGCCACTTCTTAATCACCTTCCCTTTTAATCCCCTCCAGACTTCAATCCTCACCAATTCAGAGAAACAGCTCTTCAAGCTCACCAGTGACTTTTACAGGGCTGAACTCAGTGACCTCCCAGAAGCATGTAATATAGCAGATCACTTCATCCCAATACTTCTTTCAGTGGATGGAACACCACAATCGGACTTTCCTTCTAACACCCAGGCGTCTCCCTCAGAATCTCCTGGGCTCTCTCTCCTTCCTCTTTGTAAATGCTGGAGGTTCCCTAAAGCTTAGTCCTTCCTCTTCTTGTCTTCATCTACATGGATACCTTTGATGATCTCATCAACTCTCAGGGCTTTCAAAAAGCCTCTATCTGCTGATAACTTTCAAGTTTAAATATGTTATATATAGCTCTCCCTCTTGAAACTCTATATTCAAATCAACCTTCCTACTCGCTGTCTCCACTTGGATGTCAATATGAGGACCCCAAACTTAACATGTCTATAACCAAATTCTTGAATCTATTTCCCAAACCAACTCCTCAAAGCATACCACAATAATTGGCACCACCACCTACCCAGCTGCTCAGGCCGAAACCCTTGCACGAGTCATTTCTCATACACATCTCACATCCAATCTTTCAGTATACCTGGCTGGGTCTCTGTCTTTACCATATATACAGAAAGTCTTCAACTTCTCATCAATTCCACTAATTCCCTGCTTGACATCACTGTGATCTTTTTGTCTGGACTACCATAATAGCCTCCTAACCACTTTTGTCGAGGTCCCCCAGTCTGTTCTCCAAATAGTAGGCGTTATGATTCTTTAATAATTCAAGTAATGCTCCTAATCAGAACCTTCCAATGGCTTTCCATCCCAGAATAAAATCCAAAATTCTTACCATGACCCCACATTAACTGACCCCAGGCTAACCCTGACCTCATCCCTTACCAGTCTCTCTCCACACCACCTATCCCACCCCACCCCCATATCTTCCAGCCATACTGACCAACTTTTGGATTTCTAAAATGCACAGTACAGTTTTCATTTGCTATATTTACTCTGCCTGGAAAGCTCCCTTCCTCCCACTACTCAGTTATCTACTCAAAAGTTTGTCAGTGAGGTTTTCCCTGACTACCCTATCTAAAGTAGCAGCTTCTGTCACTCTATCTCCTTACCCTTTTAAGAAACACTATTTCTACCTGATATATTTATCATCTCTATGCCCTGTGGAAAAATTAAAAATATATTTAGTTTTTGTCCCTGAAAGAGATTTAAAACCTCTCAGAATTTTTAAGTGATAGGAGTGTCTTTGTTATGGTAATAGTGGGGGCCCTGGATAGCTTTAGGATGAGGGCAGATAGCCAGAAAAACCTACCAGGCGATTAGAGGGTTAGAAATTTCAGTCCCACCCCGTGCCCTCAAGAGAAGGAAGAGGGGCTAGAGATTGAGTTCACTCACCAATGGCTAATGATTTAGTCAATCCTACCCACATAATGAAACCTCCCTAAAAAACTCTGTTCAATGAGGTCCCAGGAGTGTCCAGATTGGTCATGGAAGTCCCTTTACATCCTACCCTGTGTGTATCTTCCATTTGGTGCTTCTGGAGTTGTATTCTTTACAAGAAAAAGTTTAAAAAAAGTTTTATTTGTAAGTGTAGTGTTTTCCTGAGTTCTGTGAGTCACTGTAGCAAATTATTGAACATGGCGGGGGAAGAGTCAGAACTCCTTAATCTACAGTTGGCTGGGCAGAAGTACAGCTTCCTTGGGGACATCTGGGACTTGCAGGTGGCAACTCAAATGGGGGCAGTCTTGTGGGACCTAGTGTCTTAACCTGTGGTGTTTGCACTATCTCTAGGTAGTGTCAGAATTGAATTGTAGGACACCCAGTTGGCATAGAAAAATTGCATGTTGGGAAAATACAGTCACCCCATTAAGGGGTTTAAGTTCCAAAAAGACACTCAATAAGTA